CAGTACAAGTGAGGTGTATATTAATTGCATCTCTGACAACATGGCATGCTTATAAAATAACGGTCGGTCCTTGTCATACAAGAGGCAAATGGGTCCGCAGCTGCAGTAACGTGCCACTTACTGCTCTCCAAAGTGCACTGGAATGAGGCAGTGGAGTAGTAGTATCGAGGTGCCGTCTCCATACTTCGCCTGTGCTATCCTCAAGGTGCAGAACTTGCGTCACTGCCGAGATCGCGCACCAAAACAAGCACTCGGCTGTGGAGAACAACTAGAAAAGAGAGGGCACAGACAAGAAGCGCGTTTGGCTACGTTTAGGCGTGTGGATGGCCTGCATCAGCGCGGGCGGAGTATGGTGACGGCACTCGGGCATCTGTAGAATGGCACGTCTTGCCGCCGGGGTAAACTTCGCAAAATGCGACCCCCTCGTCAGAATTTCCTTCTCTGGTACGAGCCCCACTCCCTTCACGATCAGAATACGGCCCCCTTGCTGGGATCCCTAATCTACGGCGAATCCTGCTCAGTACCCTCCACCCTCTTCGGTGCACTTTTGAGCGGAGAAAACGGCACGCCACTGCAGCTGTGAGGCCCGTTCACATCACACATGGCAAAGATCAGATCTACGCAGGTAAATGTGCAGTACATCTTTGGAACAAAGGCTGCAGATGTACAAAACCTAGAAGCACCCTCTCGAGGAAAAATGAAGAAATAAGGAAGTTTAATTACGAAAACACTGATCAATCCAGTGAGGAAAGCCTGTGGCATTGAAGCAAAAAATTACTCTCGAAGATTTTCGCAGAACTCTCAATGAAGCATGAGCCTGAGCCTGAACTTCTGTAGGAACTGCAGATTGCCAGAGACTTTATGTACAATTTATTCCTTTGTGACCGCCATAAAATACATAAATAATATCTTCGCCGTTGACATCCGTCGCCGTCGTCCAGTATGGAGATCGAGCGCTCCCTGATAGGACGGCGGTGTTGTACAGCTCGACACATTTGGAGACTTTGAGACCTTTTCTGCAAATGCACGGGACAGTTTAATGTAAAACAAGATATTTAAAGTTATGACAAAGACAGGTACAATTCGCTACAGGCTCACAGATACGGTCGGGAGATCCACAGTGCAGCTACGCGTAACAGCTAGCCTGCGTTTCCTATCTACTAAACCCGAAAGCACTCGCACGCTAAATTAAAAAAGTCTTGGTGCGCATGTCGCGCATGTGACGCGTTTGCAGAGCCGCCTGCGCCGCGTCGCCGCAACATGGATGTCATCGTGCACCTTCTAAAAGGTTTTCCCGGGGCAGTCCGGCCAAGTAAGAACACCTTATGGTACTCATCGGAGCTGTACAGGTCTATTTGTGAACACCTGTAAGTCTCTACTTACTAGGATGACTCTCTTGTACTATTTCGTAACTTTACAAGAGTTCACAGGTTTTACGAAAGTGAACCTGTTGGTAAGCCCAAACCAGCAAAAATAACTAGCGTTGTCCCCCCCCCCCCTCCCCCCAGAACAGTGCCGGTTTCCCCTTTCTGAACATCCTTTTCCTGCAACATTTTTTAGAACTCTCGTGTGAAAATTACCTAATCATCTTCCGCGCTAAATCCAGCTCAATTATATTGCCCAATCCCTTATTGCGATGTGGCTCCAATACGAACAAGTGGTTGAGAACACCTATCGGATCAATCATTTCGAAGCCCACAGCTTTGCCATCGTAGCGAACGCAGCTGGATGGGAAATGCTTGAGTTTAGCTCTGAAAATAATTGATTCAGGCACGCGGTAGACGCCAAGCCATTGTAAAAACCGTCCTGACCTTGTTTGTTCCTCCTCGTTCGGACCGGCGTGAATCCATGTTTTAGTGACCACTTCGGCATCACATTCTGGATCAGCAGAACCTGAAAACTCCAATTCAACTGTCTAGGGTCGCTGAGCTCACAGTCTGAGTCTTATGGTTAGACACGCCTCCTCATCTCCGCAATATGAACCATTTAATGGTAGTGTGAAAAATAGCTCAAGTTTCGTTGTTCTAGACAGCACTCGAGGTGCAGACCTGCCCGTGCCGCCTCTCGCACCTGCTTCAGCATCGCCCACGTGGTTTCATCATATGATGACACGGTCCATATCTGAGGAAAACAAGCGCGTGTCTGTGAAGGCGGCAACTGTCCCGACGGAAAAGAGGCAGAGACTCATTCGTAGAAAAAGAAGTCCTGACGGAGAAAGCTGCCGTCGCTGGGACACCATTCCGATATGAACGATAACTACAAACCTATCTCGTATCCATTAGGCAGATCCGGTGGAGGAAGATTCTGCACCGTCTCCATCTGCTCAGGGGTCATATAAAACGTTTTGGTTGGGTACGGGCGCACAATGTACGACTGCGCCGTGAAGTAGGCAGATACCTTCAAAAGGGTTACATTAACAAAGTTTCAGTAACAGTTACATTGAAAGTAATATTGGGTCTTGAATAAGAAAAGAACTTTTAATTTTACTTCATTACAAAGTGAGAGACGGTAGGTTAGCCCTGCTAGGAGGCCAGCCGGATTATTCCAGGGCGCTGAGGCAGAGGTGGTGCAGTGGCAAGTGGCACGCTTACTACACGCGGTGTAAAGGGACGAAGCCCAGATAGGCTCCCCCTTAGCAAACCGAGTCTTTACCCTCCGCAAACGGTAAAC